TGAAATGTTCGTCAAAAGAGATGTTAGAAAACCAAGGTATCACTGTACCAAAAATACAACTGTAAGACTTGACACAGCAATTTTTTATAAACTAAAATTATGTAAAACACTTCTTTTTACATTAATAAGATTGTCTATGTAACTATCACAACTTTACCCAAACTCAGAAATTTCAGAGATCACAAAATCCAGATTACAAAGGAAGTGCTTAAATGTGGACGATATAAAGATGCCTTTTTATTTTAAAAAAATTGCAAGTCTTCTGCTCACCTGTCCAAATAGTAACTGTTTGCTCAGTTCAGTTTTGTTTTTCAAAATCTAAGAGCCTTTCATTTTCCAAATAATGAATTCAAGGTGGCTTACAAAACAATACATTATACAATATTTTCAAATATTTATCTATTTAATCCATTTATAGACCACAATATTGAAATAATAAGAATAATCTGTAAGTTGTATACAAATGTAAAAATACAAAAACAAACCCATAACAATCACAAAGCTAGAATACAAATAAAATGAAAATACATACTGTCAATAAAAATCCAAAATCCAAATACTAAAAATTAGCATATAACAAACAACACTCCTAAAAACAGCAGTCAGGAGAGACCAATATTAACATACCAGGCTGGAGAACAAACTGGATGTGTTTGAGTTGCAGCTATTCTGCGGTAAGTGCAGTCAGCTCCACTGGGATATTGAACACCCTATTAGGCATTCATAAACTGTATTTTTTTTTAATAAAAAAAGGAAATTATTACAGCCAGTTTACTATCACAGCAGGATAGGCTGTTGCAGAGTAAACAAGTACAACATACAGACATTTTAAGAAAGGCTTTCAGTAATGTGTGTAGCAGGTGGGAGTGGGGGCTCAGATCTGCGGTGTGGGACTAGACCTGTGTGAATTACTCAATAGTTGCCCCGCTTTCCTTTGTGAGATGTTGGCAGGTTTGCTTTGCATACGGTAGTCAGAGGAGAACCGACAGCAATGTCTGACTAAGTGTGGTGCTGAAGGGCTCAGAGGGAGATCATTAGTATAGCAGAATACGGATGATACAAGTATCCCTGTTTTCATCTGTAAAATGTTGAGGTGTGTATGTATGTACACACACACACATACGCATGCACGCTGTGCTGTGAAATAAAAAGGGCTGGCCTAATTTCTTTTCCATGTGCATATTCAAGATGAGAAAGGAAAAAGAAAAAGAAATCACATGCTTTCCGATGAGGACTGGCGAGATGAGCATTCCCCATTAAGAGGGAAGTGATATGGATTTGATGTGTTCTGTTTCCTTAGTACTGTGAGCTGAGCGCTCTGGAGCTGATTAGGTGAACGCTGCTTGGAAGAAGAAGAAAGCACCAGGGCTGGGTTTTCGCCTCCCTCCCTCTCTCCCCCTTTAACTCTGGCTCTTTTTATCCGTCTTTCCTTTCCTCTTCTGTTGCCGGAGGGTACAGTTGGCTTTCTGAATGCACTACTTCCTTTTCCCTGGGCCTGCTTTGATTGCATCTCCTATTACTAAAAGGAGAGGGGCAACGAGAGGGGGGCAGGTGGTGGGGCCTGCTTCTTTTTCATTTTATTTTTAAGTCGGTGGTCTTTTTGGGGAAAGGAAAATCATTAATAAAAGAAAACCAGCCGAGAGGCTGTGCAGCTCCTGTGCAAAACTGTTCCCTGGCAGCTGACTGTGTCTGTTTTCTCTCACCTCTAAAGGGAATCAATACAGCTTTAACTGATTTCCCTGATGCCGACTATTCTTGTGTGGCATGACTGTCACTGCAGTCATTCTATTAGCCCATCATTCCTACATCCTCTCTCTCCCTCCCTCCTGGCCCCTCCTGGCTGTTTCCTCTGTTACAAACATGCTCAGATTCCCTTACTTTCACATTCCCATTCATATGCTGTTTCTCCTTTTCCCGCGCTTCCCCTTTTCCTCGCTCCACAGTCACAAACACAAGTTTGTATAAAAACTGGCCTGCTGGATCAGGCCAAAGATCCATCTAGCTCAATATTCTGCTCCCAGCAGGGCCCACTGGAAAACTCACAAGCAGGGCCTGAAGGCAACATTTCAGGTCCCCGCTATCTGCTATTCAAAGGTACACCATCTTCCGACTTGAGGAGAAGGGTTAAACAGTGGTACCTCAGGTTACATACGCTTCAGGTTACAGACTCCGCTAACCCAGAAATAGAGCTTCAGGTTAAGAACTTTGCTTCAGGATGAGAACAGAAATCGTGCTCCGGCGGCGCGGCGGCAGCAGGAGGCCCCATTAGCTAAAGTGGTGCTTCAGGTTAAGAACAGTTTCAGGTTAAGTACGGACCTCCGGAATGAATTAAGTACTTAACCCGAGGTACCACTGTATTATAAGCGGCCTCCAAGGAGTTCAGAATGACATACATGTTCTTGCATGGCTAAGTGGCAGTGGTGGCCAAAGGTGGCTTTTTACCAATGCCAGTCTAACTTTGGTTATTCATGTTTCAGAAACATCCAGATTGGACTCCATAGAGCTGTAGGGTATTCAGAAATGTCAGTTGGTTCAAAACTCACTGTCAAAATATGAACAGGAGCAGACTAGTTGGTACCAGTGGTATAGCATGGGTTGCCAGTGCCCGGGGCCGCAAAGAGGGGATGGGTGGGAGGAAAACGGACAGAGCATGCTTGTGCATTTGACTGCCTAATGCCACAGAGATAAGAAGAGTTATTCCATTGTCTGGAGAGGTCACTTCCTGGTTCGCATGGAGAAACTGTTTTCAACGGAGCCCAGCAATGGAAGCGTTCAGCTGTATTGAGACAGCACCGGGTGTTGAAATTTCGCGCCCCTAACAATTTTGTGTTGAGGGCAACCACCCCTCTGGGGGGCCCCCACGCTACGCCACTGGTTGTAGCATATATTACCCCAACTTGTATCTTCTTTCTTGGCAGACAGCTTGTTTCGAAGCACTTGTCCCTATCTGTAACACTCTAAGTAGCCTGAGGCCAACTTATATTGCCTATATATTCATACCTATATAATTAGATCTACATCAGAGGCCTCATTCTCTGTCGCTCCCATCATCTGATATTTGGCAAGCAAGGATGCAAAAGGGGCCTTTACAGAAGCATAGGATTGGAAGAGGCCCTAAAGGTCATATAGTCCAAACCCCTGCCAATGCAGGCATTCCATTACTTTAGCATTTCTGATTGGTAGTTTTCTATCCTTTTGGCTGCTGCACACCATAGGTGGAATGGCTTTTCCGAGTCCACTGGGCTCCGTCACAATTGGCTTCCTGATAAGTAGTCAAAACATGGCAGTTTAGGAAGGCCTTTGTGGACATGGTATTGATCATTTGCTGTATTGAACGGAGAACAGGTTTTTTGCTCTTTCAGTTTTCTATCTGTGTTGGTAATTTTCAGTTCAGGTTCATTTTGTTTTATTATTTAGTGATTGTTTTGTGATGATTACTATCAGCTGTACTGAATAGTCTTTGAGACATTTTAAAAAGAGGGAGGGTGAGGGTGCTAGCTCAGCCTTAAGTTTACCAGTTGTTTTTTTTCAGTGAATCCTGGGACATTTTTCAACTTCCTACTAAATAGATGGATTTTGTCAGGGGACCGATTTGTAAATCCGGCAGCTGTCCCCGTGAAACAGGGACATCTAGTAACCTTAGCCTAGGTAATCCTCATCCCCTTCCACTTGGTCTACTTGGGGAGGCTTCCCATGCAATTCAGAACCCTGGTTTTCTTCTTCAGAAGTTGTCCCTCCAACATGTTGGGGGGGTAAAGCTAATGTGCTTGTTCTCTCTCTCCCTCATTACATTTTGGAAGGATCACCTGAATGCCACATTTTGAGAAACACTAATACAGTAATATGGAGAGTTTGAATATTTTGATTTAGCTGTCATTCCCGCACCTGCATGTAGGAGTACAAAGATATGCAAAATGAAAGGACAGTTGGACTTCCAGTTAAGTCTATGAAATTCCAAAACAAAGTGTTTTTGAATTCTAGATTTTATGGGTCTTACGGACCCATCAAAGCAATAGCATCACACAGTAAGCACTGAGCATGCAGTACTTATCCTAACTAGGCCAAATTTTTACTAAAGGGAATAAAATTGCCTAGGGAGTACTCTTGATGGGTTATTGCTTGCTTGATTCTTTATGCATTTGTTAGATGTGTAAAATGGTTGGGGTAGGAAAATAGCTTAGAAAAACAAAGATACGTCTAAAGTAATAATTAAGATCAAAATCTGAAGCAGACATAAGCCTGATTCATATATTCACTTGCTTTCTCTTCACTTGACTAGTGTCTCAGTTAAAAATCTTTATTGTGGTTCTGACTCCAGGCAGGGGCATCTCTGTGAGGGCACCCTGCTGTGGAACTTCCTCCCTTTGGAGATGTATCAATCACCTTCATTATTGGGCTTGTATCACCAACTCAAGACACACCTGTTTACCAGGCCTTTGAGTGATATTGATGGGCCATCTGTATTGCATTTTTCTTTCTTTCTTATCTAACATTCAGTGGTTAAGGGTTTATATGTACTATTTTTATTGCCATTACTGTATTGTGAACTGCCTTGTGATCCAAAATGAATGAAAGGTGGTCTGCATATTAATCAAATAAATACAAGTAATTTTTTTAAAAAAAATCTGGTAGTCAAACGCATGAACTCCATTGAAAAGTATTGTATCTAAGGTGATATGAAAGTCATGCATGTGTGAATCAGTCCTGTCCAGCCATGCACACTCTCCTGGCATGTGCACTGAAACATTACTAAATCTTTCTTTCCCCTACCTCTATGTATTATACTGTATTTCTGGCCCACCTTCCCCCCCAAGTAGTTCAGGGCAGTTTATTCCCCTGTTAATTACAACAACCCTTGAAGGTAGATTAGGCTGAGAGATAGCAAGTGAGGATTTTATAGGAATCACGATTGAGAGGGAACTATTCCATTATTCCATTTGTCCATTTACTGGAAACCTCATTCGGTCCATAAAAACCACACTCATTTTCATCATTCCCATTCATTCCCATTCTTCTTTTGCTTTTAACGGGAGACCAGACTGCTCTTCTGCTGCCTTTAAGTGCTGTGTTTTCCATCCAACTGGTATTATATTTTCAGGCATTTTGCTGACCTGCAAAAGGATCAGACCTGTCAAATGTCAGACAGAGAGGTAAAGGAGTCCACATTTTATATGCAGTCAAAAAAGCACACAGACATTCATTAGAATAACTAGTATCTGAACTGGTAAGCTACAAACTACAAGTAACTAACAACTAATCGCAAGGGAACATATCTGAGCTTAAGGCTCAACAGTTTACAGCGCCAATCCCCTCTTTCCCCACTCCATCTCTCCCTCCTTCCTGTAACCTTCAACTGACCTATCCCAGCAGCAAAGGAGAAAAGAATGTGTTCCAAAAGGATAACGAATGTATAGAAGATATTCTGAATTCATTCATGACTCTGGCATTTGTTTCTTAATTAATAACAAATGGACCCCATTTGTTTCATGTTTTCATTTCTTAAGAAACAAATGCACATCCCTTGTCTGATTTGAACTCAGGCCAGAGTTGGCATCAGCACCAGGCATTCTTGGGCAGCAGCTGTCACACCAGAACCCAGGTAGACCCAACCCTTAATGCTTGCCCTGAGCCCTACCATTAACAGGTCCTGGCAACCACCACCTTTGTTTTCAGCTTCCAGGACATTGTGAAGCCAGTCCCCACCCCCGTGTCCCCCTTATGTTCCAGACAACAACTATGGGTTGCATTCAGTGCAACACTAAGCAAAACCTTCTGTCGGTGCAAGAATCTCTCCTTGTGCAATGAAACTTTCTTCCCCTCTCCTCCCCCCATATACCCCCTAATTTGATTCTAGGTGCTCCCCAAACCTTCTGGAGCAAATTTAGGGACAGACAGGTCATGCACAACAGGAAGAGGAGGGGACCCCATCACATTAGTTCTAATCCTTGCACTAGTGGAACTATTTAGTTGGATACTGTCACACAAAAATATGACCACCTGGAGTTTCTGTGTCCACCAAAGTACCGTATTTTTTGCTCTATAAGATGCACCAGACCACAAGACGCACCTAATTTTTGGAGGAGGAAAACAAGAAAAAAAATATTCTGAATCTCAGAAGACAGAACAGCAAGAGGGATCGCTGTGCAGTGAAAGCAGCAATCCCTCTTGCTGTTCTGGCTTCTGGGATAGCTGTGCAGCCTGCATTCACTCCATAAGACGCACACACATTTCCCCTTACTTTTTAGGAGGGAAAAAGTGAGTCTTATAGAGCAAAAAAATACAGTAAATCCCCGTCACTTGGCCTCCGTCAAACCCACTGTAGTAGAACAACCACCAGACAACATCTTGCCTTGGGTCTCCTCAACCCTGAAGCTGGCCCTGGCCAGGTCTTCCCAGGCCCAGTGGCTCTAACCACCACATCACATTGTCTGTCATTGTGAATAGCAAGCACTAGGAGAGTCATCCTTTCTCTAGAATTTTAACTGAAAGCATTTGGTTGCTAGGATGATAACAAGAGCAACAACAACAGTTCAGCCTCATTCTAAAAGCTGCCAATTTCTGGCTTGCCTCTATTCCTGCCACCCTTTTCCACACACATTTGTTTGCCTGCAGGCAAGACTTTTCTCTAATCCTGTGACATCATTCGAGAGATGATGCTCTCCTCTTAAAGGAAGTCAAAATCACCTTCAGATGTATCTTCCTCAGCTTACTTGCTGTGCCTGTATGTTCAATTTTTTACCACGATCCCAAAAATATTGAGGTGGAAAGAAGAGATCCATTGATTTTAATTAAGCCCGTCACTGGGTAACATTGCAAGCCTTAGCATATTTACTTGGAAATTAGTCCCAGTGAAATCAATAGTATTTACTAAGGAGTAAACATTGGTAAGAGGATAAGGATGGAATTGGACTTAGGATCTCAGCCTGTCTTGAGCTGCAGTTCTTTCATGGGCAAAGCCATCTGAATAGTCATTTCAACTCCATTATCAGCTGCTCATCTTCTGCAAACCAGTTCACTGAATTCAGAATTGACAATGGATAGCTCATTGACAACAGGATAGACGCTTTTGCAGAATGTGTGTAACCATGCGGGAACTGGGAGCCAGCAATCTGCAATCATTGTCTACTGTTGGAGGCAGAAATGTTTCTGAATGCCAGTTCCTGGAAAACACAGGTGGGGAGAGGGCTCTTGTGGTTGAATCCTGCTTGCTGGTTTCCCAGAGGCAACTGGTTGGCCACGATAAGAACAGGATGCTGAACTAGATGGGCCACTGGCCTGATCCAGCAGCCTCTTCTTATGCCCTTAAGCAAGAAAGAGAATTGTACATTTTCTCCACAGTATTTCCCCCTTAAAGTTGCTTCTTTTTACCGCTTGAGTTGTTGGCAGCATCTGAACTCACATATATTTTGTGAGGGAGAACCCTGTGGGAAAATTCCCCTCTGCTCTTGTGCAGCTCCCATTCATTTCAAGGAGACTTAAGCACAACTGATTTGTGCTGGGTTGGGTGCCTAGTATGTTACCTACATCCCTCATTGGCAAATGGTGGTTGAAGCATGGCGATTGCTGATATCTTTGAGATTTGGTTACACGCTTCCAAGTGCTCGGGCCATAAATGAAAGCCACCTCATGCTAATGGCCACAGTGCCCACCCTTATCACACAACTGAAATATTAATAAAACATAATTTATGTCATGTGACTGCTTTTTAACTAGCTGCTTTCAAGACTTTAGATCAGGATTATAAAAGACACACATTTATAAATTATTGGCCTGGAGCACATAGGCACCATATACTATGGGGAGCACTTTTCTAGCACTTTAAATTAATTTATTGTTATTCATTCCAGCTGTCTGTGATGTAAACCTTTAGCTATAAATTTGTACCATCATCCAACACGCCATTAAACTAAAGTGGTGCCCGTGCTACAGCATATAATAAAACATATGAATAAGATTTCTGTGGGGACAGAAATCTCCCCACCCCACCCACCCTCTGCTTATACTCTCCTCTTGGTTAATGACACAAGAGAAGTGAGAAATAATGTAAGTCATTCTACAGCTGTGCATCCACTAAAATATGGCAGGGGAAGGGTAGTGAGAGATGCACATACTATACCACAGTATGGTTGGATTTTAACCCTCTGGCTAATTGCTCCAATTCAAATCCTAAATCTGAAGAATTCTAAATCCTAAATCTGAAGAAAATCTGGGCAGAATTCTTCATGAAATTGATGAGAAGGGTGGTACTCACACTAACCCATTTGTAGCACAAAAATATCATTTTTCCTCCATCCAGAATTGTTTGTTCTCGTCCTCAACATTCAATTTAGATTGATTCTAGATCCTTCTGTCCACAGGAGTGGGTGTTGTGTTTACTCCATACCTGTTTGGACTCTCTCTACCTGATCAGGTTATCTGCGCCTTTTCTTCCTTGCACATTCACCCAGGGTGAATGAATGGTGGTTGTGATCAGGGAATACACCCACCCACAACATCATGGGTTTTGTGTGGATACAACCCTAATTTCTAGGACCCCAAACATCCATTTTCAACTGTTTTCTAATAATAATAATAATAATAATAATAATAATAATAATAATTATTATTATTATTATTATTTATACCCCGCCCATCTGGCTGAGTTTCCCCAGCCACTCTGGGCGGCTCCCAATCAAGTGTTAAAAACAATACAGCATTAAATATTTAAAAACTTCCCTAAACAGGGCTGCCTTCAGACGTCTTTTAAAGATAGGATAGCTGCTTATTTCCTTCACATCTAAAGGGAGGGAGTTCCACAGGGTGGGCGCCACTACTGTGGCTTCTTGTAACCTCACTTCTCGCAATGAGGGAACTGCCAGAAGGCCCTCGGCACTGGATCTCAGTGTCCGGGCTGAACGATGGGAGTGGAGACGCTCCTTCAGGTATACAGGACCGAGGCCATTTAGGGCTTTAAATGGACACACTTGCATTCCTACAACATACTGTGATCTAATCCTGATGTAACTAAACCTTGTTTGTGCCAGTTTCTCCTTTCCTACAGCTTATACTAAGAATGGTTATGCCACATCCCTATAGAGGAATTATCTATGGGCTTTTTTAAAGACATGTTGTGAATAGGGCCACATTCACATTAGACCTTTAATGCGCATTCTTTCCCTGAAATAATTCTGGGCAATGTATTTTACCCGTCAGAGCTACAACTCCCAGCAACCCATAACAAACTACAGTGCCCAGAATTCTTTGAGAAGAAGAATGTGTTTTGGATATGCTTTAAAGGTATAAAGGTAAAGGGACCCCTGACCATTAGTCCAGTCGTGACCGACTCTGGGGTTGCAGTGCTCATCTCGCTTTATTGGCCAAGGGAGCCGGCGTACAGCTTCTGGGTCATGTGGCCAGCATGACTAAACCGCTTCTGGCGAACCAGAGCAGAGTACGGAAACGCCCTTTACCTTCTCATCGGAGCGGTACCTATTTATCTACTTGCACTTTGACGTGCTTTCGAACTGCTAGGTTGGCAGGAGCAGGGACCAAGCAATGGGAACTCATCCCGTCGCAGGGATTCGAACCGCCGACCTTCTGATCAGCAAGTCCTAGGCTCTGTGGTTTAACCCACGGTGCCACCCGCGTCCCCATTTAAAGGTATACACAGCCTTTAATTTGCTTTTGAAGAGATAGATGGTTACTCTGATGCTGAAATCACATATGCTGAAGTAAGCTGCAGTGAAATTTGTGGGGCTGATACCCAAGTACCCATATTTGGGACAGGACTGAATGTCATACAGGTGTCAGCTTTAGCACTGATTCCTCTTGAGCTATTTGCACACTTCCCCAACCTGGTACCCTCTATATTTTGTGGTCTACAAGTCCCATCAGACTGACCATTGCCCATGCAACGTATAGTGCAGATGAGCCACAGTGTTTATTATATTTAGTTTAGATTAGGGATGGAGAACCTGTGGCCTTTCAGATGTTCTACACTCCAACTCCCATCAACCCCATGGCTAAATGGGAATGATGGAGCTGTAGTCCAGTATCCAGAAGGTTCCTTTCCTCTGGTTTATACATATATGTACCCTGAAAGAACATGCCAGAATAAAGCTGTTGGTCTAAGCTGCCAGAAGACCATTTGATGTTACTAACAACGCTTCAAGAATATGCATGTGACAGAAAATTATGAGCTAATTTAGAATTCTCAGAAAAGATCTTTTTTATATATAAAAAAAATCGTTCTCAGAGAAAGCTCATAATTAGTAGCCCAGATAGAAGTAGAGTGGAGTAGAGTTTGCACATTGCTAATGGAAACCAAAAAAAAATTGTTCTGCCTCCCAGCCAGGCAGAGTAGCAAGGCCTGAAGCAAAGAAATCACACACACACACACACACACACACACACTAACCCAGAGAGGTGAGGTAGAAAAGAAATAAGGAAAGGATGCATAGCATCTTATCAGAGGAACAGCCTGGATGGCAGCAAAGTATCAAAGCTGGAGATACATCCTCAATGATTTCATACTCAAGGTCTCCACTGCAAAAGAGGGGGAAATGTATATGATTTGTTTTTGTGGTGATAATTAAAGGACTATTAGTTGGTTCCTATTGCAACCAGTCATCACCTTGCCTACAAAGGTCCGTATGGTTAAAGCTATGGTTTTCCCAGTAGTGATGTATGGAAATGAGAGCTGGACCATAAAGAAGGCTGATAGCCGAAGAATTGATGCTTTTGAATTATGGTGCTGAAGGAGACTCTTGAGAGCCCATGGACTGCAAAAAGATCAAACCTATCCATTCTGAAGGAAATCAGCCCTGAGTGCTCACTGGAAGGACAGATCCTGAAGCTGAGACTCCAATATTTTGGCCTCCTCATGAGAAGAGAAGACTCCCTGGAAAAGACCCTGATGTTGGGAAAGATGGAGGGCACAAGGAGAAGGGGACGACAGAGGACGAGATGGTTGGAGAGTGTTCTCGAAGCTACCAGCATGAGTCTGACCAAACTGCGGGAGGCAGTGGAAGACAGGAGTGCCTGGCGTGCTCTGGTCCATGGGGCCACGAAGAGTCAGACACGACTAAATGACTAAACAACAACAACAACAACATTGCAACCAGTAGTTATTGACCTTCAGGTTGCTATGAAAGCCTAGATTTTAGAAGCTGGTAGCCTAGGGCGAAGAAATATAGTCTTGCTGACCATCCAGCTAGACCCTTGTCAGGCTCCAGCTGGCTTCCAGCCAGCTCCCTATATCAGCTCCCTAGATGAGATGAAAACCTGCAGTATGAGATGTCTTCAAATCAACACTCCTATGGCCTTCTGCTTTGTACAGTATGTCTCACTCTTATTGACATTTCTATTGCTGCCTAACTGATTATTAAAGCCAACTTGGCTTCCTGAGTCAAATGCTTTGTTGCTCTTTAGCTAACTCCTCAGGGCTAAGGACAACGGGGTGAGCCTCCCAGACCTGAGCTGAGTTGAACACCGACAATGAGCTTGTGCTGAGAAGGGTACTAGCATTTAAAAACAAAAACAAAAATGCCCACTTATATAAAAAGATCTTGGCATCAAGGGATAAGAATGGTGAACAGGCATACGCTAGTGTTGGCAGCATTCTTAAACTTCCACAACACCTTGAGGCCTGTTTCTTGCAATGCGCTCTTTCAGATTAGGTGCCAGGAAATGTTAATTACTGCAGTGCAATTTCTTGTTTTCTGTGGAGCAATAACGATTAATTTATGCCGTTTGGGAAAACACTTTCAACTTATACATTTTTTATTAAAGATCAATAAAAGTAAGTCGATATGGTGCAAAGCGTACAGTACCAAAACAGAAAGCTCTTGTTTTATATACTTGCGATGTAATAAAAATTCGGTGTTGATATAGTCAATGCCTCTCTGCTCTAATGATAGGCCGTCATGCTTCTCTTTATAATCAAGAAAGCAATTAAAAAATGCTGGCCCTTGCACTTACTAAAATAATTAGCAGTTCTTTTATTGAGTGCTAACACAATGGGGTAAGACTGATTGGGTCTTACCACATGAACTGAGTACTCAATAGGAGGTGTTCTTTTTTGAACTGTTTATTTATATCTTGTTTATTTAAAATTATATTTATAGTAAAACAGATGTTTATAAGCTGTATGTGCAGCTAGGTACCAGGCTGAACTGCAGCCTAATTTCACCTGATGGTGTATACTGAGCTTCAAAGATGGAGTAGTTGAGGTATGCAAGTTGTAATACCTCTTCAAATTCAGGCCGTGCTAAAGCAGCAGCATGCTAGCATGACAAGAATGAGAGCTGGAGCTCCATGCGACATTAGTAGCCCTAAATGGATGTTACCATGTATTAAACAAATCACAAAGGAAAGGATGCGGTAGCCTAACGGTTAGTCTCCACCTCTGCAGGCTGTTGGGGCAGAGCTGTTTTTTTAATTAGTAGTAGTAGTAGTAGTAGTAGTAGTAGTAGTAGTAAAGGCAGGTTTTTTAGCAGATGGCCGTATGTCTCCTGCCTAGCAGAAGTTTTGTGTTCTGCATCTTCCTTGCAACCAGGCCCAGCTTTACAAAATATGTTCTGCTAAATGTAAACAACCCACAGTGTGAGTGAAACATTGTGCAGATGGTGGTTTCCACCTTAATGGATCTCCACCCTCAACTCAGAGCCAATCTGCATGCCTGGAAAAGATATCTGAGATAAGAGCAGGGATTGGGTGAATGGTGGCTGATGTCATAAAGGTCCTGCTTCTTCTCCAACTATGACTACATTCCCATATTCATTCCAGCCATTTGGTGAAATGGCATCCCATTGGTTTTGGCATAATGCTTCTTGGATTGGAACCTAAATATTTCAGCTGAACCAATAAAGAGGATACTTCAAGAGAGCTTCCTTTTCAGGAAATGGAGTTAGCTTCAAGCTGATAATGTCAAAAAATAATATTCAGAAAATAACAGATTCTAGCTAGCATGTCGGCTCCTCTAGTCTGCTTTAAGTGGAAGCTGATGATCAACTGAGCGGAGAACAGGAAAACAGCCAGTGCAGAGGTCAGCATCACTTCCTAGATCCAGCTGTTTTGGTTTAGCTTTTTAAAATTAAGTTTGGCTCAAATTAATGATGACAGTTTAAAGGGGACTCATTCACCTATTTAGCTGACTTTCCATCTGAAACCAAGTCCCTTCTGTCTTCTTGTATTTTGTCAAAGGATTTGCGGTTGGGATCCCAGAAAGTCCGCTGATTATCCCAGATTATATATTTCCCCCCCTGTCTTTTTGTTCTGTGGTTATTTCCCTCTGCCCTTTCTTCCCATTTCCAGGAGAGTGCTGTGGTTGCTGCTACTGCGATAAGAAACAAAGTGCTGTCTAATTGATTTTTAGGAGTGGCTTCAGTTTGAGGATCATTGAAACCAGCAGGCCAGGCACGTTTGCTCTCAGATCCTGGGTCAAACCCTAGCTTATAGCTCTTGCAAATTGGCACAGCTCCTGAGAGTCAGTGGTGCTATAGAGGTTTTACATCTGTTGAAGGTCTGGACAAAGCTTGATGAGCTGCTTGAAGGCAGCGTCCTGGAACAAGGTAGACCGAGAATAACCCTGTGCATAAGACCATCTGTGTTTACTGAATGCATGGAGGGGCAAGGTTAATGGAAGGAGGTTCTGACCCTGACTTACTTATGCTTGGTAAACTGTCAGAGCAGGTCTTGTGTACATTGTCTTGTCTACATGATCTGGAACATGTTTGGAATACATTAACCCATAGCGCAGGTGGCACTATGAGATGCGGGTGGCGCTGTGGTCTAAACCACAGAGCCTAGGGCTTGCTGATCAGAAGGTCGGCGGTTCGAATCCCCGTGACGGCGTGAGCTCCCGTTGCTTGGTCTCTGCTCCTGCCAACCTAGCAGTTCAAAAGCACGTCAAAGTGCAAGTAGATAAATAGGTACCACTCTGGCAGGAAAACGGCGTTTCCATGCGCTGCTGTGGTTCGCCAGAAGCAGCTTAGTCATGCTGGCCACATGACCCAGAAGCTGTACACCAGCTCCCTCAGCCAGTAAAGCGAGATGAGCGCCGCAACCCCAGAGTCATCTGCGACTGGACCTAACAGTCAGGGGTCCCTTTACCTTTACCTTTAACCCTATATAAAATTGACACTGCTTATCAGTTTGCTTCCAAACCCAATTTAAGGTGCTGGTTCTTAAATCCAAAGCCCTAAATGGACCGCCGCCAGGGTGCTAGAAGGAATCTCTTGACCCATAAAGTGCCCCTGCAATCCATAAATCATTGTAGAAAGCCCTGCTTGACCACCTAAATTTAGGCTGGCAGCTCTGAGTAGTCATCTCTGTAGCAGCACTCATTCTGTGCAACTTCCTCACAAGGGAAGCTGCCAGGCTAATAATCTATTTTATCTGGGTTATGACTGCTGGTGACAGAAAGCAAGGAGGGTCCCTGTGGTAATTCCCGCTCCCCTCCCCATCACTCACAGGGACCAAATCACACACAAATCACTTCACAAGCCCTCAATAATCCTTACAACGGCCCTGTAAAATAGACTAGTTTTATTATCTCTAAGGCTGAGATGGCGGTTCGTCTGAGGCTTCCCAGTGAATTAGGGATGAAGCAAGATTTGAACCAGGAGTTCACAGAGCATTCTTATTTTCATAGCAGCTCATTTTCTCTACTGTACTAGACACCTTTGAAAACACACAATAGAAGTCACAGATAGATGGCATTCGAAAGCAGGACACATAGCCACAAATCTAAAACAGTAACGCTGACAAGCATCAACATCCTCAAAATCAATTTGTCCTGCATGTAAGATGAGTGGCAGAGATCTCGCTGGTGGAATTTCTTCTTCCCTTGCTCCAACAAGCTACAGATTTCATTGTTGCACAGAATCAAACTATAAATAAATAAAGCAAAATGCATTCCCTTCTGGAAATGGTTTAATTCATATGAAGATAATCGAATGGGACGTAAGCACTGAAGCCTTGTCGGCTCTCAGGGCTCCCTTCCTACGAGCCATGTGTGGTGTATCAGCCTTTTAAACAGTAAGGCAGCAGGCAGCACAACAGATGGATCCAGCATCCATCCAAATAACTATGTTAACGAAACAGACAATGGACAAGCATTTATGCTCTTTCTGTGCACTGGCAATTTCTAAATATAGGCAAAAGGAAGCTCCACTTGTGGGGCCTCATATAGGCTATTAAAAGGAATATTTGCTGGTTCCTGCAGGGTCTAAACAGCCTTCATCTCTTCTTTTCTGTGGCAAATGCACACCCTAAACTAAAAAAAAGCTTCCCCTTTCAACTAATAATTGAATGAAATCTAACAGGCCACATTCTCTCTTGCAATAATGGTGTTACACACTCCCTCCTTCCCCAAGCAGTGAGAAGTTTCAGAAGCAGTGCTACACAGAATTTAGTTTCCTTGTGAGGAGAGAGCACTGGAGACGTGTGCTGTTTTTACGATAACTGTTTATTTATAAAGAGACATGCTGAGCATAAAGAAGCAGAGAGGCACCCAGGCAAGCAGCATAAGCTCTCCATGGCAAAGTACATCTCCTTGGGACCTGTAAGGCTGGAGGTGTTGACTTGGAGACTGGCTGCCAAGCCCAGACGTCTCCCCCCCCCCCCCCAGTTTAAATACTTTATTGAAATTCGTAGTTAATATACACAATATACCAAGATGAAAACAATCATGTACTAATAATCTTATATATGTTTACAAAAATTAAATTTAAATTAAATTTATGCAATCTCTTTTTTCCTATCTTTTTGCTAACATAGAATAGACTTCTTATCATTTCCCGATGCATATAACCTTTCTGGTGATGAATGTACTTATCATTATTACCTTACTCTTTCTGTAATTCCTAATACTTTCTTACAACAATTCGTACCTTTTTTCTTGTTTCTTAACAGTTCATTTAGACAAGGGTCATTCAAATGCTGCCACAGATACTGTACCGCTGTTATTCTGTAGATATCTCTTATACATATCCCAATTTTGAATAAATGATTGTCTTGTATTACCTCTTAGCCTGTTAGTCAATTGCGCCATTTCCGCATATTCCAGTAATTTGCACTGCCAATCTGATAAGGTTGGAACTTTCCCCCCTTTCCAATTCATTGCGATCAGTATTCGGGCTGCAGCCGTTGCATATAGACAATTTTCTCTTAGATTTTTGGAATGTCTTTACCTGAAATTCCAAGCAGAAAGGCTTCTGGCTTTTTTAAGAAGGTTAACTTAAAGATCTTTTTCAGCTCATCATAAATGAGATTCCAAAACTCTCTAATCTTTCTGCATGTCCACCACATGTGATACGTATCTCCTTCACCTTCCCTGCACAGCCAACAGTTGTTTGCTATGTTTTTATATATATTTGAAAGTTTTGATACCAACTATATTGCATCTTTAACATGTTTTCTTTAATGGTAGCATGCTGCAAAGTTCATGTTTATTTTCCAGAGTGTTTCCCACTCACTCATCAAGATGGTATGTCCAATGTCCTGAGCCCATCTAATCATAACTACCTTCACCTCCTCCTCCTGTCACTACCATGGCAGCTTGCAAGTCAAGAGAATGCTTGGCTTGGTTTTGGCTGAGCTAGAATGTCCTCATCCCTGATGGCCAAATGATGGTATTGAAGAAGCTGGTTCAAAAGTGATCCAAGTACTATAACAGAAGGAGCATGTAGAGTCCCAACAGTTTTTGAAAGGCTGCTGGTTCTGTTCTGTTCAGGGGCAATTTCCTCCAGGTCTATCACAGCCATTCAAGATCCCTTCTTAACAGGCTTGACACAGGGGCATAAGAAACTGTCATACTTTGAGTCAGACTATCATTCCATCTAGCTCAATATTGTTTACTCTAGGTGGCAGCTACTGTCCAGAATTTCAGACAAGCATTTTTCCTCACCATACCTGGAGACACCAGGAACTGAACCTGGGACTTTCTAAATATAAGGCAGATGCTAAGTCACTGAGCTATGGCACTTCCCCCTGGCCCTTTGTCACCTCCCTGGTGTCTTCTTTCTAGCTCGTGAAACTAGCCAGTACAGAATTAAAAAGCAGGTCATTCTGCATAAATCAGTACTCTTAAGTTAAGTCACTAACTTTATATCTGTACTTGACTGATGACTGATGATCTGCTGATCTTTTCTCATTGACCAAGCATGGCCAATGGTCAGCGATGCTGAGAGTTGGTAGTCCACCAGTATCTGGAGGGCAGCAAGTTCCCCAATCATGCCCTAACACTTCCTTAAGATGCTTCTCTGTTTTACACATCTCTCTCTCACACACACAAACAAACAGCCAAACAGCTTTTCCTCCCACTCACCTGAAGTCAAGAAGAGGGATAGTAAAGAAAGGAAGTGGGAAAGAAAGAGGGAAATGAAATGACCCAAGTACTTTAGAATAGATCCAGGCTAAGTTAGTTGAAATTAGTTCTCACAGAAATGACTCAGTTCTGTTGATTTCAATGGGACTAACATTCAACTAACTTAGCTACATCATAATTTAAAATATTCTTCATTGCAGGGGGCTGAATGAGAGCACCCTCCGGGTCCCTTCCAACTCTACAATTATATAATTCATGGTTCCCTCTTTCTTCCCCCTTGTGTTTTAAAGCAATGATTCCCAAACTATGTGCTAGGACATACTAGTGTACCAAGAGAGGGGAACTAGGCTGCCTTGAAAAATGAAGGCCACAATGTTATACACACCTACCTAGGAGTAAGTCCCATGGAACTCAGTGGGATTTATTTCTGTGCGGATACGTATAGGATTGCATCGAAAGCCACTATGCTGGGTGCACAACTACTCTTAACTGCTGATGCAAGGAAGCCCAATACCATATTGATTACTCTTTCTCTGCCAGCATATGAGCATTGACATCATCCTGAGAAATACAGTAAGGACACACAGGATTCTTTGATGCAGCCAATACTTCAGCTGACAGGCACAGAAGTGTCCCTGAAGCATCACCATTGCTCAGAAAGCAAATTAATATTCCTGAGCTGCGGCAGGACAAAAGGACAGTGAAACACCAGCAGGCAGTGCTATCTGGACAGTTGCAGGAAGGATGTATCCTGCCTATAGTTTTGAGAGCTAATCAAGACAATATGTGTGTACTTTATTTTATTTTTTAAGTATGGGGTAGTGTAGTGTGTGCTTCCAATTTTTATCCAGAAAAAAAAATGCCCCAGATACCAAAATATTTCAAAGATTCCACCGCAGTTCAGTGGAATTCCCCCCGCTTCACCAGCAGAATAACCCTTGTGTCAAGTCACAGTGGAAATTTATGGGAAGGAAAGGGAGGCATGAAAGCAAAGGAAGTTTGAAGGGAGCCATTCCAGTTCTTGTGTAACAATCTGACAGTTCTTAAAAAAAAAAAAAAAAGCAGAGGGCTGTGGCTCAGTTAAAAATTAAACTAAAATTATATTCCAAGTTCAAACTAGGACAAATGTAATCTTCTTTAGAAGCAATAATAAAATAAGCTGGAGTAAATTTTAAAAAGAAATCTAATGGAAAGAACATCAGCATGCATATGTGCAGATACACAAGCTCTACTGAACTCTTGTCCGGTCATAGATTTATAGATGCCTTTCTTCACAGAACTGTTGGCAGAAGAATGGTCCCTTCCCAAGTTACTAAATGGAGCATATGCTCAGCTTTAACAGTGCGAGTCAAAATGCTATTTATTTCATTGTTATACCACTTGTCCCCCTGCCTGTCCACCCCATAACCCCCCCCCCCGGATGAATAAAAACACGGTAAGGGGCCTACTACTGATTCCTGAACTGCCTCCTTACTCTGCCCCATGTTTATGCCCTGAGAGTGAAGAGACAGGGCTGAGAATCAACCAGGCAAAAGTGACCAGTATCACCAGGGGGATCTTTCATTACACTCCAGTCACATGAGTTTCATCACCTACATAGAAGAACTGAACAATTAGTTACTTCCAGCAGCCCAGGTAAGTAGAATTAAGAGGTGTGAATGGAAAAGATTATCCTCTTCTGTTGATGGATCAGGCTAGTGAGGGAAACTCCACCCTGGAATGCTTTGTATGTGACAAGAGGGGAAGTCATTAAGTTAAAAGTAGAAGATTTTAAAGGAAAAGGTACTATTATTCCCAAGGCTCTTCACACTTAAAAACCAGGATATGGAACCAGAAACGACTGGTAATTCTCATACAGGAGTACCAGAGCAAGTCCCTCCACAGGCAGTTAATTCTTGCTCTTGCATATTAAAAGAACACTTTAGGGCAGCCTTTGCCAGCCTGCTGTTCTCCAGTTAGCCAGCATGTGTTTACTGGGGCTGATGGGAGTTGTAGTCCAAAACATCTGGAGGGCACCAGATTTGGGAATGCTGGCTTAGGTGCAGGAAGAGTGAAGTACAGCTCCAATTTTAATTTTTTTTGGGGGGGGAGGGAGTGTGTTGCAGCTATCTGAAATTTTGCCCTGATGGAAGGCAGACCTGTGGAAGGCCTGTGAGATTTGTATGGAGGAAGATGATCTCTTAAACAGACAGGTCCTAAATGGCATAGAACTGAATAAAAGTGGCTATTGTGCTTAAAAGCATTAAAAAACCAGTGTTTAAACTACATCCATGTCATGTGCTGTGAATGTCTGTTGAGTTTCTACAGGGTGCTTTATGTACCACCATGATTCCAACAGGATTCTGGCTTCTGTTCTCTCACCTCATCTTTTGTCAGATCCCTGCTTTTGGGAAACTGGCCATCAGACATTTGCCAAAAAGGAGAAAATGCCATTAGTGCATGATACTGAATCTGAAATGAGTATTCCAAAATAATGAAAATTTACTTAAAATGTGAATGGCAAAATTTGGAAGGTGGCCAGGCTTTGCATGTGACATTTTGCCTGACAGCCTGAAATTCAAAAGCTTTCCACTGGAACCTCTTGAAGGCTTTGATTTTGGCAAGCGTCAACTTTGAAATCTCGTAAACTGTCAGCTGCCAAAACACAATTGCATGTCATTTATCAAATGTTGTCAGTTAGTAACACAGTGATTCTGTCCTCAACATACACCTGTAGTGAGTGGAGGTGAGATACAGCAACCTAACAATACCGCTGGGGCTCCACCAGCTCAAGGGGGAAACGGGACAGAATTCAGGATGTACTGGAGGCAGAGTGGTAGTTAGGCTTTGCATGCACACCCATTTGCTCCTCATCCAGTGCACTCCCATTGCTGGTTTCGGAAGTGGCATACACGTGCCATTAGCCACAATCAATATATGTCCTGTTGTTTCTTGTGAAATACTGCATATTGATGCATTTCCCCCCCAAACAGTGCTTTGATCCAAATTGAGTAAAAGAGCCACCTAGCTGTGTTTTGTGGGACGCGGGTGGCGCTGTGGGTAAAACCTCAGTGCCTAGGACTTGCCAATCGCATGGTCGGCGGTTCGAATCCCCGCGGCGGGGTGCGCTCCCGTCGTTCGGTCCCAGCGCCTGCCAACCTAGCAGTTCGAAAGCACTCTTAAGTGCAAGTAGATAAATAGGGACCGCTTTATAGCGGGAAGGTAAACGGCGTTCCGTGTGCTGCGCTGGCTCGCCAGATGCAGCTTCGTCACGCTGGCCACATGACCCGGAAGTGTCTGCAGACAGCGCTGGCTCCTGGCCTATAGAGTGAGATGAGCGCACAACCCTAGAGTCTGTCAAGACTGGCCCGTACGGGCAGGGGTACCTTTACCTTTACCTTTAGCTGTGTTTTAAGCCAGTAATTCAGTGTACACAGCCTTAGTAAGAATCCTTTCCTTGCTCAGGGGTTAGACACTCCTGAACAATTGCACCTTAAAAAAAAGTGGCATGGCTTTAAACACTCTGATGAGGTCAATGTTACATGTAGCCCCAGTGTAATTCCAGATGTAAGCTTCTCCAACAAATAGGAGTGCCAACACAAAGTACCTCTAGGCATGTTGATACTACAGACATAAGCTAGTACAATGGTCATTCTTCATACGTAATGCTGAGGTTAGTAGCAAATTTGTGTGACAGGGAGCTAGAGATTACTAACAGAATTCCCATTTCCTTGCCAAACTACAAGGCCCAGGATTCTTTGCAGGAAGATCTGCCAGCTAATAAAATATATGTTTGCGGATGAGGCCGCAGGATAAGTATTTCCTGCAACAAGGATTTATCTGGTAAGGCACATAACATCACTGTACCATACTTGCAGATCCTGCTAGAAAATCTGGACCAGTCTTAATCAGGCACTTTACAAAGTAATCTACATAGAAGTGCCCCAGCACCATTCTAAGCATATTTCCTTGGCAGCAAATCCTGTTGGTTGAAACGGGATATTTAAAAGGAAATAAGTTTAGGAGTGCCTATTTATCTAGTAGCTTTGAAAAATGCAGCCTTCCAAATTCTATTGACATGCCTGTGAGTAATATAGGAGGGGAAACACAATGCAACCTACATTATCATCTAGTGGATGTTATCCAGACTCTGCAAGTTGTGACTTCAGCAAGATTTGCTGAAGAATACTCTGTTTGTGTGGAGTTGGTGGATGCAGAAATACTGGCAATTGGGAATGCAGGAAGTAAAATACCGAATGTGACAATGGGAGAGAATCTTCCAGGCTACCCTGATCTGTTTCTGTTTTCATTACGCTAAAAGACAGCCAATTTCAGCAAACAATATAGTAGATTTATTCATCTGCAGAAGAGCTAGCCGCGTAGGGGCCTTGAAGGGGTGGAGAAAAGGAAAGCAGAAATGGGAAAAGGCTGATTAAACAAAGCAGTGGGGGAGAACACTCTGGAAGGTTCCTGCACGCAAGTCTGCTGCACTAATGCTTTATGTCACTGCAGAACATTAAACGAGCACTTAAAAAGGTAATTAGCACCTTTTCATTGGACCAGAAATCAAAGGTGTAATTTACCAAAAGTCAGTGAACAATGTAAGAGATCTAATTGAATCATAGTGTACAGCTTAGCCAGGGTGAAAAGTCAGAAGAACATCTTTGGTGTGCTCTGTGGTGGTTACATTAAAGCCACTGTCCTCCTAAGCCCACTGCTACTACCAGCTTGCTCTAATCCCAACCAGAAATGCCATGAATGTATTCATGAAGATAGCTGGCCCAGCCATGATCCTGGAGTGTTATTCTATCATTGATTCTGTAATTGGGGTTTTTCTACAGTCTGCAGCTGAACCCCTAATTTCATGGGCAAAATTTAGTTACCTAATGGTGCTTAGCACATCACGGAGGCTTAACAGATGTTAAACAGCAGCCGTAGCACCTATGCATTTTGCCTTCCTGAACTGCCCATAACTGTCTCCTTACTTCCCCCTTCTATCAAGGAAAATAGCTGTTATTCCAGGTGGAATAAACCAAGTGGAGGCTGCAGAGGGATCCTCACTTTAGGGATGGGGCAGGAAATGCAGTCAGGAATTGGACCGCACACTCCACATTAAAAACTGTAATGATTTTTTAAAATAATAATAATAATAATAATAATAAAATAATAATAATTTATTATTTGTACCCCGCCCATCTGGCTGGGTTTCCCCAGTCACTCTGGGCGGCTTCCAACAAAGATTAAAAATCCTTCCACTCTTGCTGCCGCTCCTCATTATTGCTAGTCTTCTTCCTCCTCTCTCCATGTACCCCACAGACAGGCAAAGGTGCAATCATAGCCCCAAGAGCAAAGGAAGGAACAAAGATGGGAGGAGGGGAATGCAACATGGCCTTCACTATTAGCTTGCCACCTTACTCCAATGACATCCCTCACGCCTCCTCTTTTCTACCTGCAAGCCAGCTCTGTAAACACCAGCTGATCCAGCAGCAAAGAGAGCGGGACAGCTCTGATAGTAGCAATGTGGCAAAGAGCCCTAGTGCAATCTCTCCCCACCCCACTTTTTTAAAAAAGCACAAATATGTGATTGCTGTGCTAAGCCTCCATTCATTTCCACTGAAACGTCATCTACTGGACAAATGTGGGAGTGGCAACAATGCCAAAAAGTCATCATATTGCTGTGACACCCTAGCACTATAGCGCAACAAAAGTGAGATTTTTTAAAAATGGAACATTTGGCTGTGGTTGAGGGGGAACTACAGACCCCACAGAGATGCCGTGTGACCATCGAGAAAGATATGAGGGCACAAATCTAAAAGCGGAAGCGTGTATGACCATCTCAATATCCTCAAGAGCATAAATTGCCCCAAATGCACATTAAAAGTCTTGTCTAAAAGGACGCCAAGTTGCCCCATCCTATCGTCCTTTCCAGCCATTTGAATTTAGACTGTAAGTTCCTTGGAGCTAGCATTTGTTGAAGTTACTCTACATAATGTACTACATATCATTACTACAGCTATTACATTTGCTAATAACATAATAATAATAATAAAAATAATAGCATCAATAATAATTGATGACTGGCTATGTATGGCCTGTTAGCCATGGGGGGTCTCCAACTCAGGGTCCGTGAGGTGACTTGAGCTAGTTGCTAGAATTTAATGTGCAGCAAACAGAAAGCACTGTTCTCTCATTCAGACTAGGGCTGCATAAACATCATACATTTAAAGCATACAGTTTTCCCCCAAAGAATCATGGGAACTATAATTTTTAAGGGTACTAGGAGTTGTAGCTCTTTCTGGGTGAACTACAGTTCCCAGGATTCTTTGGGGTAAATCATGTGCTTTAAATGTATGGTGTGTGTGCAGCTAAAGGCAGAACATTAGGCTCCTAGTGTTTATATTATAGTCCAATCCAGAGGGTTCATACTTCCTGCCAATCACTTTGAGGAGGGGCACTATTGTGCACCCCTAGACTTTTCTGTATTCAAAGTGGGTTCTTAGTACAGACTTTTCATAGTAACTCACAGCCTTAGACACTTCAAGCCCCAGAGTCCCTGACAGTAACCTTATCAGAAAATACTGGTAGACCTAATCCACTTGAAGGACTTTGACAAAATTGCAGATTCCCTCTTGTGTAGCAGATCGCTTTAGATAAAAGTTGGATTCCACCCAAAGGCAAGCATTTATTCCCTTATTATTTCATAACTGTGGTAGATTTTACAAGTACCAAATGATAATGGCTGTTCAGTTGATCTTTACAGATGATATTGAAGTAATGGCTGATGGTGAGGAAGATTCAGTTTGGATGATTAATGTCTGTGGCCTCAAACTAAATAAAGACCAAGGCCATGTAAGTGAATCATATGAAGGGAGAAAAAGGATGAAAATTCTGAAAGCAAGGAAAGAAGTTTCCTCTATTTAAACTGTTAAAGGGCCTCTTCTCCATATTTCCTTTGTTCCATTTCACCTCTGGTCAATTTTTTTTTTAATTTTTTTTTGCGGGTCTCTGAAATAACATGAAAACCTGTTTACAAGGGGCAGAATAGCCCAATATAAAGACAGCAAAAAAAAAATGCAAACTAAAATTGCGTGTGTGTGTGTGAGAGAGAGAGAGAGAGAGAGAGAGAGAACAATCACATTAGCATAGAATCATAGAATTGTAGGCCTGGAAAGGACTAGAGGATCATCTAGAATCATAGAGTTGGAAGGAACCCCAAGGGTCATCTAATCCAACCCCCTGCAATGTAGGAATCTCAGCTAAAGCATCCTTGACAGATGGCCCCCCCACTTCTCACCTTTTTCCAGGATGACTAGGAACCATTAATGCATTCGGTCAGTTAACCAGCTACGAATCTACCTAATGCTTACCTCTTTCTTTCTTTCTTTCTTATAATTTTTTTATTAGTTTTTCAACATATCATTTTCAACAATAATTAAACATACTTTCATATCTTATACCATTTTTTTGACTTCCATCAATCACATCTGAAAATTTTCCAATCTATTCACTTAATATACATTTCTTACTTCCACTATTACATTTAAATCTCATAACTAATATCTCTATTCTTTCTCTACTTTGCAATGCTTCATACATTTCTCCTTACAAAACTTCTTGTAATTTGTTGATTACAGTTGCTCTTCAAATAGTTCGTATATTTCTTCCAATCTTCTGTGAATCTCTGGTCCCACAGGTTTCGAATCCTTCCTGTCATTTTATCTAATTCTGCGTAGTCCATTAATTTTGTCTGCCATTCTTCTTTCGTCAAACGCTTACCTCTTTCAACACACATTTTACCAGCTTCCTCACGAGAATATCATGGGGGACTTTGTCAGAAGCCTTACTGAAATCAAGATACACTATGTCCACAGCATTTCCCTGATCCACCAAGTTTGCAATTCTATCAAAAAAAAAGAAATCAGATTGGTCTGGCATGACTTATTTTCGAGAAACTCATGCTGGGTCTTAGGAATCACGGCATCCTTTTCTAAATGCTCACAGCCTGACTGTTTAATTATAATTAAACAGATAATTATCTGTTCTAGGACCTTCCTTGGACACAACCTCCTGCAATGCAGGAATCTTTCAGCCAATGTGGGGCTTGAACCACAACCCTGAGATTACGAGCCTCATGCTCTGCCAACTGAGCCATAATTACAGCATGCTAAAAATTGCAAAGTCTATCTAGCCTGCTGCTAAAAGTTTTTTCCCCCATCTGCAGTTGTCAACCTGGACTTGTAAAATGGCTCCTGATATCATTTCCCAGGCTCTGGGAAGGGGCGGGGCCAGATTCCACTTCCTGTTAGCTCAAAGCCTCGCCTTTTCCCTTTCCAGCATTTGGAAAGATGCCCCAGCAGCCAGCCTGCCAGCTATGAATGCCTCACTCTTCAACGCAATCCTATGCCTGTCAGCTTGTAAGTAAGTCTGTCTACTGCATTCAGTGGGGTTTATTCTCAGATAAGTGTGCACAGAATTGCAGCCACCGTTAGTTGAGCAGCCGGCAGCATGGAGGAGCAACCAGGGGAACAAGGAAAACAACAGTCCCACTTTCAGAACACCCTTCCTCTGGGGGAAACAAAACCCTATCATCTCTCTCTCTCTAGCCTATTTAGCATGTATAAATATTTATTTATTAAACCATACATATGGAGTGGAGCTGACTGGATGTGAAGCGTGGGTGACAGAAATGGAAGAAGGGAAATCGGGCTCAAAATGTGCTGTTAAAGGTGAATGGGTTCCTTGATGAATTTTACACAAACTACACAGATTTATTAGCACAAGCCTCAACCGACTTACAGTGTGATTCTGCACATGTCTGCTCATTGGGTGATTACCATAGGACTTACTCCCTGGTGTATAGGGATGTGTCCATGTTCAACTTACCGTATTTTTCGCCCCATAGGGCGCACCGGCCCATAGGACGCACCTAGTTTTTTTGGGGGGGGAAATAAGGGGGGGATTTATTTTTCCCCCGGGCACGGGTCTGGGGCGGGGGATGCCCGAGGTTCCCCCGACCCCAGCCCCCAGAACAGGCTGCTATCCACAAGCCTAGGGAGCCCGGCAGGAAGTTGCGCCGGTCTTCCCAGGCTTGCGGATATCTGTCCCCCGAGCTTGTGGGGCTGGCGCTGGGGAGAAGCCCGCTTCTCCCAGTGCCAGCCTCCAAACCAGGTTGGGGAATAGTGGGATGGCGGCGCTCTGCCTCCCCGCTGTCCCCCGAGCTTGTGGGGCTGCCCGATATCTGCACGAAGCCCGGGGCGCGCTGTGCAGCGCGCCCCAGGCTTCAGGATGCAGTCTGCTATCCGCAAGCCTTGGGAGCCCGATGGGAACTGCCGCGGAGCTCCCAAGGCTTGCGGATAGCTTCCTGAAGCCTGGAGAGCGAGAGGGGTCAGTGCGCACCGACCCCTCTCGCTCTCCAGGCTTCAGCGAAAGCCTGCATTCGCCCCATAGGACGCACACACATTTCCCCTTCATTTTTGGAGGGGGAAAAGTGCGTCCTATAGGGCGAAAAATACAGTAATATTCTTGCAAGGTACCGTACCACAGGCCTGCTCAGATGTGGACATTTATATATTTGTTACTTATTGACTTTCACAGACTCAGAGAACTGTAGAATTGGAAGGGACCATAAGGATCATCTAGTCCAATCCCCTGTGATGCAGGAATATTTTACCCAAAGTGGGGCTTGAAGCAACGACTCTGAGATGATTAGGAGTCTGAGCTATCCCTCCTTCCTCCCAAAGAAGCCCAAAGTGTGGCAAACACCAAAAAGTTAATACAATTTAAATAAGCTCAGATGTTGTAGATATAAACAACATCTTGGGATATAAACAACAACAGCCTGGGGATTGTTTCTTTTGAAAAAAGTCTTTACCAGGCCCCTACACTTGGTGAAACTAGGCACTAGGAAAATGTTCCAGAGCACTAGGAAAATGTTCCAGAGTTGGGATGCCATGACAGAGGAGGTCCTCATTGCCACGTGGCTAACCTCAGGTGCTGAGTGCAAAACAGATTTTAGGTTGCACCAAGGATTATTGGGAGTGGAATACAATGGCTGTTCTTTGAAAATATTGTTACATGCCACCCCAGTCTCCAAGTGGTGTGAGGTTCCAAAGGAACCAAGGCGCTTACCCAGGGTTTGTGTTTCCTCTGGAAATAAGGCACAGAGGAGACTGTGGTGTCTTTATGATATATGGTTTATACACACATATATCCAACCTGAGTCAATGATGGAGGGGCTCACAGCTTTACACTCCATGAGGTTCTTGCTTTTCCCATGGCCTCAGTCTTGGGGAAATCAGCCACGGCCCTCTGTCTCTTTGCTCAGCTTGCTACGTTTAACAGACTGCCATTTTTCCTCTCTAGCTTACAGCATCCTCAATTGCAATCCTAAAAACAACTGCCCTCCTTCTAAATCTATTATTTTTTTTAAAAAAATTAAATTTTCCAACATACATTTATAGTATCCAATCTAAATTTATCACATATTTTCTCTTTTAGACTTCCTTCAACCTCTCTGACAATCATCCATTATTCAAATTTTTAAATACGCATTTCCTAATTTTATATTGCATTTTATAAACCTTCACACACTTAGTTTTCATCAATACAATAGTCCTCTATCATTTACAGAACTTCTTGAAATCCCACTAGCGTTATTTGCTCATCACATACACATTTCAGATAGTCTGAAAATTTTCCCCAGTCTTCAATGAACTTTTGATCTCGTATATATCTGATCTTTCCTGTTAGTTTGTCCAGTTCAGCATACTCCATCAGTTTCATTCTCCATTCTTCGAGCGTCGGCAGTTGTTCCTGTTTCCATTTTTGGGCCAATAATATTCTCGCTGCTGTTACTGCATATTGGAAAAGTTTACAGTCCATTCTATTTATTTCATTTCCTACTATTCCTAGAAGAAAAGCCTCTGGTTTCTTAACAAACGTATATTTCAACATCTTTTTCATCTCATTATATATCATTTCCCAGAAGCCCTTCACCTTCTTACAATCCCACCACATATGATAAAATGTTCCTTCTTTTTCTTTACATTTCCAACACTTATTACATGTTTTATACATTTTTGCCAGTTTCACAGGTGTGATGTACCATCTATAAATCATTTTCATAACATTTTCCTTTCACGCAGTACATGCCATAAATTTTATATTTTCATTCCACAGTTTTATCCAATCATTAAACTGTATATTATAACCCAAATCTCTGGCCCAGTGTATCATAACCGATTTACCTTCCTCATCTTTTGTATACCATTCTAGCAAGATTTTATACATCTTGGACAAAATTTTATTTTCATTGTTTATTATTTCTATTTGAAATTTCGATTATTTTACCTCATAACCTCTTTCTTTTAAGTCCTTTTTAAACATTTCGTTAACCTTATAATAATGCAACCAATCATACACATACTCTTTCACTTCTTCATAGGATTTCATTTTCCATTTTCCTCCTTCCTTTATAATCAATTCTTTATATGTAATCCAGTTTCCCTCATATTGACTTTCTTAAGACTCATAACTTCTAACGGAGATAGCCAGTGGGGAGTTCTTGATTCTAATAAACTTCTATATCTCTCCCATATTTCTATGAGAGATCTTCTAAAGATGTGGTTTTCGAAACCTTTATGAATCTTTCTTTTCTCACACCATAGATATGCGTGCCAGCCAAATCTGTTATCAAAACCTTCTAAGTCCAATAACTCAGTATTTTTTAACTTTATCCATTCTTTCAACCAGCAGAGGCATGAAGCTTCATAATATAATTTCAAGTCTGGCAGGGCGAAGCCGCCTCTTTCTTTCGCATCCGTTAATAACTTATACATAATTCTTGGCTTCTTACCCTGCCAGATATATCTTGAAATTGCTCTTTGCCACTCTTTAAATATCGCTGTCCCCTTAATTATTGGAATTGTCTGAAATAAGAATAACATCTTTGCCAATGCTGCCCTCCTTCTAACTCTAAAACTCCTTCAAAGGCTTTTGTCTGTGTAACTAATTCTGAGTTGAGAGAAGAACTCCTTCCATTTGCCCTCGGGCATAGAGCCACACATCCTTATGGGCCATTACCAGGCTGGCTCCTGGCTTATAGTTTAACATGCTAAATCCAGTGTCTGGAACCCAGAAATGAGAAGCAGGGTCCAGGAATTAGAAAGGGAGTCCAGGCACCCCATAAACTCATAACAGTATTAAAAAACAGGAGCAGTTTGGATTCGCCTCTTGTACTGATCGGAACACATGGGTTTGAAGGACACAACCTTTGAACAGACATGGTATATACATGAACTTCCACAGTTTATGTCATTAGAAGAAAACAGTGCAGTCTGCCCTCCCCCGGGCATATCCTCCATCATAATACATTTTAATTTCTTGAGTTTGAGACTTTGCCTCTGATTTTACCATTCCAGCGTTATTTGCTGTTGTTTTGTTTTCTGATGTTTAGTATTAGCAGGATTTTTTCTAGTTAGAAATTATGGTCATTAAAACAAATGTAAGCAGCTTAGGGAATTTGTAATTGCTCAGGCAGGGTAAACCATTTCTTAAAGAAACAGATAATAAGCCATCACTAGCAGCTTTTCTAATAATATATCACACATCTTACTCTACAAGCTTGGGGTCTTCTTAAGGAAGGAATGTTATATATCTTACTGATGGAATGTGGATTTTGTTTTTTGTTTTTTATAATATTTTTTATTCATTTTCAAATACAAATTTACACAACCATATCACAATTTATCACAAATTCTTCTTTTTTTTGACTTCCCTCAGTTTCTCTGCCAATCTTCCATTTTAATTGTTTTGTTTACGCATTTCTTAATTTTACTATTGCCTTTAAATATACCCTCCCCAGTCTTATTCCCTTTTTTACAATATTCCTCATATTTTCACAGAACATCTTGAAAACCTACAAGCGTTGTCTGTTCATCACATATACTTTTCAGATAATCTGTAAATTTTCCCCAGTCTTTGATGAACTTATGGTCTCGCAAATATCGAATCTTCCCTGTTAATTTATCCAGTTCTGCAAAATCCATCAATTTCATTCTCCATTCTTCAACCGTCGGTAATTCTTCCTGTTTCCATTTTTGGGCCAGAAGTATTCTCGCCGCTGTTACTGCGTATTGGAAAAGTTTACAGTCTTTTTTATTTATTTCATTTCCTACTATTGATGGAATGTGGATTTTGAATGTGAAAAGACTCAGAAACTACAAGCACCTAGAAGACCCACTGCAATCACAGTACTGAATCTGTTGCACAACTGAGTCTGATTTAGTGCTACATAACTCACCTCTTCAGTTACCTGTGCCTCTCATGCAGAAAAGTGGTCCATGCCATAGAAATGGTCCGTTCATTTCTTAAGCAGTCATCACCTGTTCATCATAAATCATTCTACTTATCTTTCTCCCAATTTGTCACAGAACCTGTCAACAACCAGCATAGCATGAATGCTGCAACTTCCTTCCAAGGGCTCTTCACAATTATTTATCTTGATGACGTAAGTGCCTGGTACTGCCTGCACCAGATGTTAGAACTCGGAAGACATGGAGAACCTTTTTCTAGAAGCAGGATTTGAACCGAAGGTCTGATTTAGCAAGAAGAAACAGATTCACCATCAACACTAGGACCCAAGCATTGGATAGCTTATCTTTCTCTCTGGGCAGATCCTTAGTTGCAAACCCCTTCACCATGATGGAAACATGGAGGCTGAACTGTGATGAAAGTTGTATATATTATCTTATTTCCCCACATGCACAAGCTGTCCCTACCAGACAGTCAGAATTTTGCAGGAAATATTCGAGCACTATCCTGGGAATTTAGATTTGCACAATTAAAGTGGATGAAAGTGTTCTGTCTCCCTTGGGCGACAAATCTACTTTTTACTTATTTTTTAAATAAACTTTTTATGATTGGGAAAGTGCTGGCAAAATGCTCTGAAAAATGTGGAATGAATGAATGTTTAATGGGGAGACATATAAATGCCATGCAGGCAAATCAGAATTAATGCAGGATGAATGCTCATTGCCATATAACATCTCCGCAAACAAATCTGAATGAATTCTCAGTGAGGATGAGACATAGTTTACCTTCTGTATAAGCTCTGTGCAAGCAAATCAGGATGAATGCTCAATAAACAGGTCATCTGAAGGAGCCTCAGATCTTGGAAGAACTTTTAAGATTTGCTGGAGCCACTCAGAAGTGATATAACAACACAGCAAACAATATTCAGAACACCTAGCTGCTGGTTGTCTGGAAGAGAGAGAGAGGAAGAACAACTTTCAAGGGCCCCTTAGAATTTTTAGCTGGAGAGGCAGGAAGAAGGGCACATCCCTAGATGTCCCTATACTAACCTTCTGGAATAGTTCAGAACAATATTTTAAAAGACTAAATTGTTCCTGTGTCCCAAGTTTAACAGTCGCCTTGGGCAAAAGCTGTTGGAAAATTCAGAAATGCATCAGATTGTTTCATGATGCAGCTCCAACTTATCTTGGTGGTGGTTATGCAAGAGAAGGTTCCTTGCTTTCATGTGCTTGCTAAATTGTTTCATGAGCACTCAAATGGCGCATGCATTGAGCAGAATAGTAAACCATGAGAAAAGAAAATATTTGCTACAAAGGCTACAGAAAACATTTCTAATGGTGTGAAATGATCTGACTGGTCATCACTTGTAGGATTGTGATACTGTTGCTCATTCCACTTCCATACAATGACTCCAGGGCCAGCTGGACAAACTTGTAAAGTGCAGGGAATAGGACATAGCCTTCCATAGGAGTCAGCTATAGTGGTACCTCTGGTTGCGAACGGGATCCGTTCCAGAGCCCCGTTCGCAACATGAGCAGAACGCAACCCGCGTCTGTGCGGGTCGCGACTCGCTGCTTCTGCGCATGCGCGTGATGTCATTTTGAGCATCTGCACATGCGCGAGTGGCGAAACCCAGAAGTAACCCTTATCCGGTACTTCCGGGTCACCGTGGGACACAACCTGAAAAGATTTAACCTGAAGCAAACGTAACAAGAGGTATGACTGTACCAGGGGTGATGGTGGCTTCGGCCCCCACAATAAAATATTTGAGTGAGCCGGCCCCCCACAAAGTTGATGGGCATTCCCATTCTAATAGTGTGTGTTCACTGCATCATGTGATTGATTATGTGGGGCAGGACTGACCTGGACACCCACAATATTTTATTCAAGTTGGTACCCCTGTACCCTTCCATTTCAGCCCTACCCTAGTTGCTGAATCATTTATTTATTCCATAAAGAAAATCAGAAACAGCATGGCAAGTGTGGGAAAGGGAGCAGAAATCAAGTATGGAGGCTTGTGTGGTTTAGGGAGGTTCAGTCGAGAATCGGGCCCTCAACTCCCCAAATCTTTCAAACAGACACCTCCTCTTCTAATTCTTCAACCGAAACCCATTGCATAAACTTTCAAAATCAAGAAAGTCCCTGTTGGATCATGTAGCATCCTGCTCACATAGTGGCCAACCAGAAGCCTACAAGCAGGACAGGAGCATAATGGCCCTCCTGCAAAATAGAAAATGCAGGAATCTTAGAAAATGATTTCAGAGCTTGTCTGCTTCCGGGTTCATCCTGGTTCCATGGCACAAGTAAACTCCAGATCTTCTGAATACATACATATTGCAGAAAGACTGGTTAATCCCTTAAAGCTAATCATTTCCTTCTTTTGTTTATGGAAAACATTTGAAGACTTTTTGTCCCTAATTCTCTGTAGAGGACTTCTGTTCCTGATTTTAGAGGCGCACAGCATGAGAGAGGTATCGGGAATAGTGCAAGCCAGAGCAGTGTCATCACCCTGTGTGAAATGCGAAGCCGGTTTTAAATTGGGCAGGAAAGGGAGAGGAGGCCAAGCAGCAGTGGAAGCAGACAGAGGCCAAGTAAGACCTGGAGCCCAAGCCTGCTCTGCACAGCTTGGTTTTCATTCCCTATCAGGAAAAGTCGAAAGAAAACAGCTGACTATGGAGTAAAAGCAGAATTGGCCGGGCCGCTTTGGTAGATCCTTAGCAGTAAGGATCCTTCCACCATGCCAGTGGCTGTTCTTTATGCAGCTTACCTCCTCTGCACTTCAATTTAAGGTTCCTAGAATTGCCAGCCAGCAGGTCAAGGGGGATAAACTTTCACCAGAAAGAGAGGGCAAGATCTCAGCTGAGGCTAGTCATACAGCTTTCCTTAGCAGCAGCAAGAGTTTCCAAGAGAGTCTTCCAGAGAAGGCAGATGAAAAGAGGCCATTGTGTGTGGCTTTTTCTATGAAGAGCAGAAACTCGCCAGAGATTTGGGGCTCAGTGATTTTGAAATTTTCTTAAACTGTGAAACACGAGTCCTTTAATTTTTCAGGAATGCTTCAAGGGGGCAACAAATCAGCTTTACAGGATTCTGTTAACCATAAATCATTTTCTTAGCGTGCAATGAAGGCCAGTGTCTGCTCCTTACCCTGAGCTGCAACCAAAGTAACACACGTTGCATACAAAAGGATTGTAACAAAACTCAGGTGATTCCAAACCACTCCACAATGCAAAAAAGCATTGATGTGGCCTTACTTCAGGGTTCTTGCACGTTTTGCAGTCCATTGTACAGAGTTAACTTGGAACTTAAATATAGACATCCTGCTTTTCAGAATTGTGAGAGCAGAAGAACTCCTACCTTGGCCGTAGTCTGTTAGATTTTCAGAGATTGCACTGCAGGACAAAATCACTATACTATCAGGCAAACAAACTATATAGATAGTATCATTCTTGGTGTCCATTGTGTGGGAGACAGCAGAGGACACAACAAATAAAACATCAACTGTGAAACACCACGACAGGCTCAAGCTAAGTGGGATGCTTTCCCCACAATAACTATATCCATTAGCCTGCATTTTTCATCTATATAGCAGCAATCAGAAATGCTAGCAGCCAGGTCATTGTACAGAAAGAAATGGAAATTGGAAAACTGGAAAGGTGGCCTCACAGGAAAGTAGGGAAGAACACAGATTAGAGTAGGATGAATTCTGAAAAAGGAGCCTGCCCAAATCAAAGCACTGGTTTGTTCAATTGGACATTGAAAACTGCAGTCCTAGGGATACTTGACTGGGAATGTTGTTGTTGTTTAGTAGATCCCTTTAAATGCAGTGAGATTTACTGCCATGTAAACATGCATCAGGCTGCACTGTAAAAATAATGAAATGTAGAAAACTTGAAACAGGTTGCCTGTGTTTTGCAACACAGTAAATTTGTCAGTTCATACTTTATTTCAAACATGGAAAGGACATCTTTTCACCCAGAGGTGGTTACTGTCTGCATGCATTGAAAAGCTGTGATGGAGAGAGCCTGGGGCTGCTGACAGTATTTCTAGAACCTTCCTTTTGAGCATCATCATATGTATCAAGTAGAAATGTCAAGTTGTTAGAATTCCAGCAACGAATACTATATGACCCAATATTCTTGGTGTGAATATTGTTATTGACTCTTTACTTCCTTGAATAGTAAGAAGACCAAGCGTACCACGTTTTAGTTTCCTTTGGATGAGAGACTGGGGACTGGGGACTTGTGTTGTGTTGTCTTTAGAATATCTATATATAGTGGTACCTTGGTTTATGAGCAACTTGGATTAAGAACGCTGAAAACCCGGAAGTAGGTGTTTTGGTTTGTGAACTTTGCCTTGGAATAAGAACAAGTTTGGCTTCCTGTTGAGTAAATTGAGTCCCCCACTGCTATGGGAAAGCACGCCTTGGTTTAAGAACACACTGGTTTAAGAACAGACTTCTGGAACGGATTAAGTTCGTAAACCAAGATACCACTGTATATGTGTGTGTACATGTGTGCAGCTGTGCATTTATTTACTAGCATCAACTGCTGGTTTTTAAGCAGAAATTGGATGGCCATCTGTTCCGTATGATGTAGCTGAGATTCCTGCATTGCAGGGGGTTGGACTAGATGACCCTCGGGGTCCCTTCCATAAGAATGCAAATTTATTATAATGTCAGATAAATAGAATATCTTGTAGGAACCCACCCACAAAAACCTATGCTTCTTTGGGAGGAGGGGTGGGGTGGGGTATAAATTTAATAAATAAAGAATTAAAAGATGGCAGGAGTCTTTAGTATGTGCCAGAAAAAAAGGCTGCATACACATCATGCCTTTAAAGCACATCCCCCAAAGAATCTTGGAAACAGTAGTTTTTTTATGGGTGCTGGGAAATGTAGTTCTGTGAGGGATAAACAACAGTTCCCATGATTATTTTAGGATGTGTTTGTTTTCAATGTGCTTTAAATGTACGATATGTATGCAGCCAAGGTTGGTATCTAAGGGGAAAATAACCTGAGGTCGTAGCTTTGCCTTCTTTGGAATGGCTATTTGGGAAGGTATTCTGCTGATTTCGATTTTGGTTGATTTCTGAGTCACACTATTTGTTGATTTGTGCTCAGAGTTTGAGCTTATATATTTTACCACAATACATAAGCATTATTAATCCAACAAGACTCAGAGCCTAGCTGGATCCACGTGACAATGCTATCTCATATAACTCCAAAATATTTCCCCTCATCCCCAGAGGGATATGTCCACACTTCATGCCACAGAAGACTCTCTGCGCCATGTGGATGTCTATAATTCCTGTCTATAGAAATTTTTACTCAGAAAAAAACTTAACAAAGCTAAAATGCAAAACATAGCCAGCTGTAACATCCGGCAGAGTGAGGTAATTCACCTCAAGCAGCAGATTTTAGGAGACCATTAAAAGGCAGAACATTTATTGTTACATAACAAATATAACAATAAAATTATTTGTTAAATTTGTTAAATTTCTGGGTTGGGGAATCCACAGCTCTCCAGATATTGGGCTCCAACTCCCATCAGCCCCAGCCAGCAGGGCCTGTGGTCAGAAATGATGAGAATTGTAGTTCAACAACATCTGTAGAGCTACAGGTTCCCCATCACTGAAACAGAAAGACAAGGCAAACAAGAAATAAGATGGGTTTAAATTTTTAAAGAATAGAAGGGACTTTCAAAAAACCTCAAGCTTGAACCAAGTGTTTGCTTCAGATGGTCACTTCACAACTTTAACTTTTTGATCTGTGACTTGTTTCACTTCTTGAATCATCTCCGAGTATGCCTTTAGGCCTTTCCCTCAGAACGGTGACAACCAGTGCTATTTTCTAGAAGAATAAGTGCCGGCACTCAGTGTGAACATCTCCCTCATTCTTTTTGAATGGTAATGGTGCCCACCTGATAGGTGCCAGAACTGAGTTCCAGCAAGTTCCAGCTGTAAAAAATCTTGTTACATCCCATTACCTCTGAAAGAACAGAAGGGTTTTGCTTAGATTTTAGCCTTCTGCACTCGGTGAGGGCCTAAATTCACCTCATGCATTTGTGCTTTTTGCTTCTTCGAAAACCTCCATATGTATATGTATTATTTATACCAGTGTGCTAAAATAGGCAAACTAAATGCTCTGTGAGTGCCTTACACTCCTTGTCAAAAACACTGGGGAATATCTGTGAATCCCTCCTTTCTGACCATTAGCTAAATGTTACCAAACTCTTGGCATTGTGTAATATTTGAAGACCGACATAGTTCCACTGACGAAGGGGTGAAGTGTTGTGAAGGTCGTTAGAGAGAAAGTGTCCTCTCATTAAATCTGCTATTATGTCATCCTGCAGCAAGAAAAGGTGGCTGTGCGACCAGGCTACCTTCAAATGCTGAGGCTGGAATTCAAAATAAGTTGTCACCAGGGAACCTCAAACACACACTGTCCTCTAGATTGCTTTGGCACAAGACTGACAAGTGCACCTTGTCGTTGGGCTGGTCTTATGTATACAGTAAGTCCCCAACTTACATGGTGGTTACGTTCCGGGGATTGCGCCAAAAGCAAAAATCGTGTATAGTCAAAACACACTAGGTTCAATGGTTGGTGGAATAGCCAAAGTCATTTCTCCAAAACCTCACCACTTTTCACTCCACCTTTTTGGGGGAGGGGCACATATGTAAAGCTGAATGCACACAAGTTAAATGCACATACTGAACTTAACTGGGCAACAGTTGTTTGAACTTGTCTCAGCTCACTACATTCCTGAAACTGCAGGTCCCGGTACAACCTATATCTGACTAGAAATATTAACAAAGTACAGTTCTTAGGATTCTTTGGGGAAACAGGTGAGGTGTACACAGCCAAAATGTTTATCTGAAAAGAATATGCGTTCTGGATGGGAGCTTATGACTGTGTCAGTCCTAAAAGGTAAAGGTAAAGGGACCCCTGACCATAAGGTCCAGTCGTGACCGACTCTGGGGTTGCAGCTCTCATCTCACTTTATTGGCCGAGGGAGCCAGCGTACAGCTTCTGGGTCATGTGGCCAGCATGACTAAGCCGCTTCTGGCGAATCAGAGCAGCACACGGAAGCACCGTTTACCTTCCCGCCATAGTGGTACCTATTTATCTACTTATCTACTTGCACTATGATGTGCTTTCGAACTGCTAGGTTGGCAGGAGCAGGGACCGAGCAATGGGAGCTCACCCCGTCGCAGGGATTCAAACCGCCGACTTTCTGATCTTTAGCCACCAAGAATAGATCTCTTTTCTCTAAGTAAGCAAATCTGAATTAGAGGAGTAGGGGTGGGGCTTACTTAGCCCACTTTCGTCTGGTTTCATTGTGTGGCTTGTCTCCCTGCAGTCCCCCGCCCTTCCTTTAGTAGAGCAAGATAGTGGTGGTTATCAAGCTGAAACTCTGCCCAGCATCCCCCCAAGTCCAAGACCCCACTGAATGTTCCTGACATTGTGAAAAAAATGTGAAAGGGTAATGAACTCAAAGTACTGGCTGCCATTCAACTTACCTTTACATTATCCTTTTTGGGAAAACACAGTAACCACCTGATTCATCTATCAGTTCTAAAATCAAAAGTGTTATTTACAAGGTGTAAACCTTAGTAGATAAAATTAATGGATAAGATTAGTACAGTTAATTGGTAGATTAAGCAACCAAAGTTTTAGTTGATTAATTGGTTGAGGTAGTTTTAATCATCAAGGGCAATTTTTAATCAGTGCGGTTATGATTTAAAGACTATTATTTTTGGAAGCCATTTTCTTCATGTGCTATTGTAATAGAAAATAAATGGGGAAGTAATAAAATGTAGCTTCTGTTTTGTTAAATTATAAGTTACCTTGCATTTCTTTCAATAGCTCAAACCAGAATTAATATTAAAATATGGTAATGTGCACATTTGTTTACACTTAATTGATTGGTTAGACAGATAATTAATCAGATAAAAAACTTCTAAATGACTGACAGCCATAATGCTGTATGGTCAAAACGATTCAAGTCTGCTTAATATTTCCTCTTTCAAAATGAGTGTTTCCCACTAATCACCAACCCCCAAAAAATGTACTTGGGTGAAACTGCAGGGAAGATTTTCTTATTGACTTAAGAGGGAGTATCCAAATAACGAAAGAATCCTGCGGTGCTGCCTATTTCTACACACATGAACTCTCACAGATCTTGGTACGCAAATACTCACAGGAATTAACGGTGGATTAGAAAACCAGTGTGCTTAGTCAGAACCTGGCCTGTTAATTCCTTGGTTCTGTCGCAACAGATCTTAGGTTCCCAGTGTAGTCAGAAATGATTTGCCCCTCCATCGCCATAGCAATAAAAGCAGAAGATTCTTTGGGTGTCACAAAGGGAGAGTTGTGGTTGAATGAGACTTTGAAGCCCTCTCTCTATAGCTCTCTTAACAACCATGCCTTCTTCATTTCTAGTGTTATAAGAACTTAAG